CCGATGTGGGACTTGATCCCGGGACTCCAGGATCACACCCGGGACTCCAGGATCACACACTCCAAAGGCAGGCGCCAAACCGCTGAGCCACCCAAGGATCCCTATTTTTCTTTTTTTAATGTCATAGAGACCTTTAAACAAAAACAGTTTAGCTATGCTAAAATCAAATACAGCAATAAGGATGGAAATGGTTTGCTGGAGACTTTTTAGCATATAATAAGTGTAGACGTTTTAGCTGTCAACATGCTTTATGGGGAAATAGATCTTTCCTAGCTTGAAATTCATCTCAAAATTTATTGAGGCAAAAACTGACTTGGGGGTTGAGGGTGTATCCAGAAGACCAATAGGTTAGATTCATGATTTGGGGGAGCTAAAACATTGGCTTTTTGTAATTAGCATAAGCTATGTTTCAGGTCTTTACTGCAGGATATTTTTACCTTGATAGGCTCAGTCAGTACTTATTGAGAGACTAAGATGTACTCTGCAAGATTAGGAATGATAGGAGATGGAAGATAAGTAATAGATGCAGTCTCCCCAACCATGGCACCCGTGATGGATGACATTCATATAAAAGGCACACTCCTTGGGGCTGTGGCATAGATAAGATCATCTGTTGGTAAGGGAGAATTTTGGAATTCAGATGAGTGGCGGACATTATCAAAAGGTAATCTTGAATCCATATATATCAATCATTCACAGACTCGGTTCCTTTTTCTATTAGCCAACAAATTATCAGCTGTATACCATAATTTACCATGACACAGCAGTTTGTTGTGAAGTTACAGCTGAAAATTGCTGTTTTAGAGCTTGTGACGATACAGGAGTCAGGATTTACAGGCACAACAGGCATAAAATAGCTGAATAATTTCAGATAGTATAAAATACACGGAAGGGTGGGGGGTATGCACATGTATGATTGCTCCTTGAGGCTTTTACAGGTAAGGAAATCTCGGTGGAGAAATTGGCTGCTGAAAAATGGGTTAGCTTATCAGTCCAGGTTCTTAATTGTAAGCACCAGAGATAAAATCTGATTGATTTTTAAGCAGAAAAGGGGAACTTGCTAGAAAGGTATCAGAGCTTATGCGTAGGCTTCCCACTATTCTGCTCCTAGATATACTCCAATGGAGACACATCCACATATGTTCGCCAATGTGCCCGTTTGTAATAGGACCATACTGGAAACTATCCACAATGCCATATATGATCTCCCATAGATCAGTAGAGTAGATTTAGCTTGTGAAAACTCTTTGATCTGTATGCTTAAGGTCAGATGCACTTTTCCCTTCCGTGTGTTAGTGTATACTTTTCCGTATATAAGTTGCACATCAATAAAATTGTACTGGATGAAAAAATGTGCTATCAGGTAACACAATTACTAGAGCTCCGGGCTGGTGTATCTCAAAGCCTGGTCCCAGTTTCCCCAGTCACGCCACTGAACCACACTAACACCACCAAGCATTAAACTGCAGTTCAAGCACTACTGGCCACTGCCACCAGCCTGCTGGCTGGCCTTGTGGCCCAAGTCCTTGATCCCACTGTAGTGACTTCCACCTGAGGGTGACAGTTCCATTCCTGGCTCCATTCTGCTGCCCTCCTATCTAAAATCTGGGGTGGATGCCTCTGTTAGGCAAAGCCTAGCACAAGTGCCCATCCTTGCTGCAAGGGAGGTTGGGAAAGCGAGTAGCTGACATTTTCAGCTTTTACCCTGATATCTGGCAGAAATTATTAGGGAAAGGCAGGGTCAGTGGCGTGGGGCAGAGGATGTTGGTGTTTCAGATTTGGGGGCAGCCAAAAAGAGAAGGAAGTCCTTCCTGAAGTGAACATTTAGGTCAGTAGAAAAAAGTAAATTTCAAATGTTAGGGACAGTAGACGCCTAAGGGTAGAGGTTGAGTAGAGCATGGCATTTGGGTCCAGTGGAACAAGTTTAACCAGATTAAAGGGTGTGTTCTGGGAAAATGTTTTGAGAGAAGTTGAAGGAATAGGGTGGGATGAGATGAAGGATTGCTTTGAAAGTCAGGTGGTAGAGTTTAAATTTAATATGGGAGTTGGGGAGCTAATAAAAGTATCTGAACAAGTGTCCTGATAGAAAGAGATATTTAAGGACCATTAATCAGGGAGCATTTCTAGAGACAGCTAGGAGGCGTCTGTAGTAATTTAGGGGTAGGGTGGTAGGTTGGGAATGGAAATAAAAGGCAAAGGTTGGATTTAAGAGAAGCCTCGAAGAGGAAAAAAATCAATAGGACTTCGTGAAGGGAATGGAGTGGAAGCTTCATTCCCAAACTTTTGAGCCTGACTGACTCTACTTGGTCCTGCCTTTCCTTTAGAGCTTAGAGATGCCAAGAAGAGGACTGATGTAGAGGAAGTAGACGAGTGAATTTTAGTGTTGCAGTTGTTGAGTTTGAGGTGATAGAGACTGAGTGAAAGTGGTCCCTGGGCCGTGGGGAGAGGTGGAGAGAAGGAAACTCTGTGGAAGGAATAGTTCTCACCAGGAGAAAGGCTGGGAAGGCACTGGAACTGAAAGTGCTGGAGCCCTCAGGGCACTTCTCAGTTCTCATTTTTTAGGTTGGTAGCTGGCCGATCTTGAATTTAATGTAGTGGTGAATTTGAACTGCAACTTGTGCCTTCTGCTTCGTGGGGTTTGAGGTCTCCCACGCAGGTACATGCTGCTGCTATTACCGCTTTACATCATTTTCTTTCTGTTGCATCAGTGTCTTTGGCAAGTAAATGAATAACACTCGCAAGGCTTTTCTCGGTTATTTCTAGCAGTTTTGAATCCTTTGGCTACAAGGAGGATATGTTAAAGCTAGGGACTTTAAATGAGACAGAGAATATATAAAAAGCAGGCCTCCAGGGACGCCTGAGTGGCTCAGTGGCTGAGCATCTGCCTTTGACTCACTCAGGTCATGATCCTGAGGCAGAGGATCACAACCTGAGGCTTCTCCCTCTGCCTATGTCTCTGCCTCTCTCTCTGTCTCACTCATGAATAAATAAATAAAATCTTAGAAAAAAAAACAGGCCTCCAATTGATTGGAAAAATTAGGAGCCAGAGTTCTCAGTCTTACTGCAAGGGTAGCCTTGGGTCAGGGGTGACAGCTCCTCCCTTCCATAGTGTACTGAGCAAAGACCGGCTATGAAACCTGCTTAAGCCTCAGGAGGTCAAGTCTTAACCAATATGTTTAGGCACTCAGTAACCACAAGCTTTAGCATAATACTCAGGCTTGAGAGGCAGCCTGGTCTCTGGAGCATCACCACGATCGGCTTTTGTGTACAACTTGAAAGCTGTTGCTGAGGGACGCCTTCTTGGTATTCCTCTTAGGACTTTATGCTCTATGGTCTACAGCATGTCCTTACTTGTAGATGGTGCTGGATTGCACAGATATCATTAAAGGATATACATCTGTCTTAACAGGAAACACCTTGCCCCTTGGGTAATGTGTGAGACAGTGAAGAAAATCCTTAAATGGTTGCCTGTCATTTATGCTGCTGCTGTGTTTGCTGGCACATAGTACTTTGAGTCCTTGGGCTCTTCGGTATAATGGCAGTGTCCCTGTGTTTAGCCTAGTGTAGATCAGAGCCAAGTTAGCTCAAAAGTCCCAAGGCTTTTCTGTCCCCATAAGGTTTCTCTGCCCCTGAAGAGGTAGCAGGTTGAGAACAGAGGAAGTTGACTTTGAGTCCATGTCAAAAGGTTCATCAGCCTTCCTAATCAGTTGGATTTTAAAGTAAAACAAAGTGATGAATGTCACATCTATAAAAAATTAACCTTTTGCTTATGGACCTAACAACCTTTGAAATGAAACTCTGTTCTTTTGGTCACATGGTACAGATGCTTACAAAGAGCGATCCCACATCTTCACCTCAGAATAAAATAGTTTGCCAAGACATCCGTGTGTCATAGGTCACGTAGCTTGTGGCAGGATTGAAAGCAACGAGACCATAGAACACCTGATCTATCATTATTTTGGCAGAGGAAGTTCCACTGGCTGGTTTGAGAGAGACAGGTTTGTTTTTTTGGTTTTTAGTTTTGATTTTTAAAGAAATTTATTTAAAATCAATTAACATATTGGGCATTACTAGTTTCAGGGGTAGAATTTAGTGATTCATCAGTTGCCTATCACACCCAGTGCTCATTCCATCACCCAGTTACCCCATATCCCATCTCCCTCTCCTCCAGCAGCCCTCAGTTTGTTTCCTACAGTTATTTCTTTTCAAGATTTTATTTATTTATTCATGAGAGACACAGAGAAGCAGAGACACAGGCAGAGGGAGAAGCATTTCCCCACGGGGAGTCTGATGTAGGACTCGATCCCAGGGCCCAGGGATCACCACATGAGCTGAAGGCAGATGCTGCCTGTTTCCTACAGTTATAAGTCTCTTATGGTTTGTGTCCCTGTTTCCTACAGTTATAAGTCTCTTATGGTTTGTCTCCCTCTCTGATTTTGTCTTATTTTTTTCTCTCTCCCTTCCCCTATGTTCATCTGTTTTGTTTCTTAAATTCCACATATGAGTGAAATCATATGATGATTGTCTTTCTCTGACTTATTTCACTCAGCATAATACCTTCTAGTTCCATCCTTATTGCAAATGAGAGAGACAGTTTAACACCTCTCCCAAGCTCCCCCTTAAACCCAATTACCTTAAAAACAAAAGTCCCAACAGCAAACTATAATTTCCTAAGACAAAACTGGCAAGGTGCAGACGAATGTGGATATGACTATTAGGAGGCAAAAGGCAAATGTCACTGGTCTGTGCCATTGCATAAGCATCCTAGGTCAGGTGGCCATTCCTTCTGGAAGGAGTAATGCTAACTTTATCAATAGGATTCTACTCAAAAGACAAAGAAAAACCATCACCAAGATACCATATATATTCAAAGTATTTTGTTTCATTTTAAAGCTGGTTAAAAAAAAAAGCTGGTTAAACTTCAGTGGTGGATAGAGTTTGTTTTTATTTTAGATATGTTTTTGTGGTACAATTTTACAGTCTTATTCTTTTTAATCTAGGAGCTGTCTCATCTTATGCATTGGAAGTTAATGTGACAGACTCAGAAAAAGCCACTTGCCTTTATGCAAAATGGCAGATGAATTTCACAATACAGTATAACACTACAAGCAAAAATTTTGTAAGTGTTTTCCTTTTCCTTTGAGTTTTATAGTAGGAACTCAGTTCTACCCTTTATCCTTTGTATACATTTATGTAAATGAGATTTCATGTTAACTGACTTGCTTAACACTTAAATTCTGTGGGTTTTTAAAAAACATATATACTTGAAGGTATTCTGTTTAGTGTTGGAAGGAATATTTTATTTCATAGGTTCTTTGGAGTTCTTGCAGTTGATTAAGGGCAAGTGATCCGAAGACTGTGGCGTTCAGGTCTAACTACATCTGTAAATGCTTTAACATGTACTAACGTCAGAGCTTTCCCATTTTTAATAGTTTGCTGTTAAAATCTCCTTTTTGGGAGGGGGTGTCCTTTCAATCCTTTTGCCTTCTTATTTTCTTTTATTTAAGGTCCTGCCTGCTTATAACCTGATTTAAAAGCAAATCAAGAACAGAAGTTCAGGCCACTTTCCCTTTTCCTTTTAGACATACATGAATTTGTCCAGAGGACTGGTATATAGGTGAAAAATCTGGGACTGGTTTACACAACAGGCCAGGCAAAGGGCAACCTGGCCATGGGGGCTCATGTGATGGAGACTAAATTGGCACATCCTGTATAAATGCTTGGTGCTCATTACTGTGTGTTATTTACCCCAAACTTCTTTCTGTTTTAGAAAACTGCAACCATTTCAGACTTTAGCACTGCAACCTATAATGGAAGCGTTTGTGGGAATGACCAGAACAATCCCAAAATAGTGGTGCAATTCGGATCTGGTTTTTCCTGGACTGTGACGTTTACGAAGAAGGAGTCGGCTTACTTAATTGACAGCATCTCATTTTCCTACAACCTCAGTGATAATGCAACATTTCCTGATGCTAAAGAAAAAGGTAAATTTAAGAATTAAATTTATGTTCTCATGCTCTTTTTTAAAAAAAGATTTAATTTATTTATTTGAGAGAGAGAGAGTGAGAGGGCAGAGGGAGAGAGAAGAAGACCCAAGCAGACTCCCCGCTGAGCATGGAGCCCAACATGGGGCTCAATATCATGACCTGAGATCATGACCAGAGCTGAAACCAAGAGTCAGATACTCAACCAATCATGCCACCCAGGTGCCCCTCTCTTGTTCTATGTTAATAATAAAAATGTAGGTAATTTAAAAATCATCTGTATGCATGTCTGTCTTTCTAACTAGAATGGAAAGTTCATGTCTTTGTATTTCCCACCCCTACCCCATGTATAGCAGTGTTCAACACAGTGATGATACTTGCTGTCATTGTTTGAGTGCTTTACTTTGTACTATGGAGTACCCAAAGTGTGTGTCTAGCTGCATCTTAGCCCATAACAGCAAGCTTGGGAGGTAGATATTATTTCTACTTTACAGGTAAAGGGAATGAGGCTTGATGAAATTAAATGACTTTCCTAGAGGTCACATAGCCAGCAAGTGGGCGAGCTGGTGTTTGAACTAAAAAGTCTGTTAAGCTACAGAGTTCGTGCACTTCACTATTATTATTTATTTCATCCAGTAGTGGGTATCAACAAATGTTGAATGAATGAGAAAATCCTTTACTGATAGCTATTTTAAGCCTGTACATAGGCAGAGGGAGGAGAAGCAGGCTCCATGCAAAGGGCTCAATCCTGGGACTCTGGGATCATGACCTAAGCCAAAGGCAGATGCTCAACCACTAAGCCACCCACGCGTCCCTCTTTTTACCATTTAGATAGGATTTGGACTGAAGAGTAAATGATTAAAGGCAAAATGACTGAAGTCAACATTTGTTGCTATTTTGAGACAATTTCACGTCAAATCAAACTTGGAAAAGTATCAGCAATAAGGCGTTCTTGTCCATCTTAGAGCTGAAACATGTACTAGATTTTTTTTTAGTACTAAAATTTTGAAGGTACACAGATAGTGGAGATTTCAATTTTATCCAGGATATAATTCTCCTTTCTTTCCCTTCTCTTGTGATTTGGGTTTACATGGGGTTTGTAGTAGCTTAGCATTTTTCACAGGTAGATAGTATTTCATTCTGACCCCAGAAACACAGGCAGATTGGCTTTGGTTGTAAGACCTGGGATAAATGACTCATTTGGATGTATGGATATCCAAAGATGATATGTATGTCCAGGACCCAGAAGTGAATGAGCTCATGTAAAACTTGGGGGGTAATGTGGACTCAGACTTGGAAATCAATCCTAGCTTTCTCTTTCCTAACCTCTTAGTTTGAGAGGATAACTAAAGCAAGTCCGTTATGGGTTACTTTCTATATTTAGCCTTGTGCCCTGCATTGTCTTCTAGAATTAGTATAGGATTTGCTCCCTCACCTTCAAGTGAGGAGTTTTAAAACTAGTTTGGGAGACAAAGCAAATTTGGCTTTCTAGGTGAGATGCCAAAGTAGAAAGCATTGAGAGCAGTGTGATTTGTTTGTGGTTCTGTTTGGGGAGTGGCAACATGAGAGAGGCTGTAGACACCCCCCCCTCAGGGTACAGAGTCAATTTTGCAGATGCTGTATATTTCCTGAGCCCATCTGTTTGAACCTGATCCAAATGTGTCCTCCCAAGTGGTCTGCTTAGCAGCAGAGAGAAGGAAGAGGTCAGTGTGTGTGGAAGGAGTGAGAGATCTTGGTGTCGAGAAAAATGTTGAAGCTCGGCTAATGGTCTAATTTGAGTCAAGCGGAGAATTGGAGCAGAGGATTTCCAGCAGGGGGAAGCATAGTACCGCAGCAGTAGCTGGAGAGCTGCCTGATTCAAATAGAGGCTGTGCATGTAGCAGAAGGAAAATCAAGTTGGCTGGGCCTGGTGGGTCTAAATTATAGGGAGCCTTGGAAGCCAGGGAGAGGCATTTAACTTGATGGGGTAGGCACTGGGGAACCATTTTAGATTTTTCAGTAGGAACATGACCTAACAAAAGCAGAGACAGTAGTTTGTAAAGAATGTTCTGTAGGATTAATTTGGAAGTGAGGAGACTGCAGGCAGAGATGCCAGCTTTAAGAGGCTGTTCTAGTAACCAAGGGATGATGTAATTGAGTGCCTAGATCAAGGGGGTGGTAGTAAAAGGACAAATCTGACAGATTTGAATGGAAAAACTATGGACTCTAACAGTTAGCTTCCCTCCTTTTTATTTTAAACAAGGGGAGGATGCAATTTTTTTTATTGCTAGCATCTATGTAATAAGATATGTGAAGCTATTTGGAATTTAACATGGTCTCCTTAAATGGACTGTTGTTTTTGAAATAATTTAGTGTTTTATTTTTAGGCATCTAAGAATTGAAGCAACTTTGAAGTTGCTGTTTTCTTAAAATTTTTTCATGATTAAAATACAGAAAAGTACAGAGAAGAATATGATAGATATACCTGTATCAGTTACCCAGAGTTTATAAATGCCGTTTTTTCATATTTGCCTCATCTTTTTATTTATTTAGAGAAGTAAAAGCTTAAGATACATTTGAGGTTTCCTTTGTACTCACTCCCCGGAGCCATCCTCTCTGCCTCCCTAGAGGCAGCCACTCTTAGGAATTTCCTATCCACCTGTTTACCTTTGACTAATATGTACATGTTCATGAATAATACATTGTTTAAAAAATTATCATTTCATAGTATAACTCCAGTATGTCTATAGATTGTTTTTGAGGTCTGTCTATATAAGACAGTTCAGATACCCATTCGCTTAATGTTAACAGTGAGAAACGGTTTTGGGGAAAAATGTTCTTCTAGTGTGTTGGTTTAAAAATTGTATTTTTCCTTTGGCCATTAGGGGGTGCCAAGACAGCGTTAATTGGCTGCCTTGCTGCTTGATGGAGAGGCCCTGAAGGCAGCCTCTATTAAGGACCTTACATACCTTTCTTCTTGTTGCTTCTCCAAAAGAAACTAAGCCATTTGGGTGGATAATTGTGATCCTAGTCTTGAAGCATCCCCACAGGCATTATAATAAAACTCCGTATGGGATGGCTGTTACTTATTCCTTTCACACTTTCATATTCTGAAGATTTCCTGAAATGGAACAGTCTTTAAATGCTATCCAGGAAGGAGTTCCAAAAGCTCATTATAGTAATTGTAACTGCCTCTGAGATAGTAGCACAAAAATAAGAATTTACTATGAAGTCCCTGATGAATCCATCTTTCTTCCTCCTTTGGTCACAAAGTCCTGTTGATTGGACCTTAGCTATGTTTTCAGTGTGGCCTCTTTGCTATTACCTTAATTTAGGCAAACCCCTCACCTTTTACCTTAACCAGAGCAGCAGCCTTCTAACTACTTCCCGTCTTTTTAATTTTTTAAGTTTTTTACTTCCCATCTTAAATGACTTTCCTTTAGAGTCTTTTCCCCTGCCTGGCCCCTACAATTTTGCCATCTCCCTTAGAATAAATTATATGTGTGTTATTTATTTCCAGCTTTAAAAACTGAAGCTAACTTTTCACGACTAACAAAATAAAACCTGACCTGCCCTCAGCTCCTCCAGTTTGCTTCAACATGTGGCCACCTGCAGCTTGTCTTTCTTCCTGACCCCCGTCACATCTTTCCTCTTTCTCCTTGTGTTTCGGCCCCAGTGAATTTGTCATTTCCTGAACATGCCATGTCCATTATCACTTAAGGACGAGGTGAGGCAGGCAGGCAGGACGAGAAGAAGATCTACAAATAGAGTTACGTGATTGCTTTTCTCCTACCTTGGAAACAGCTAGTGTTAATCTTGTTTTATAGGAATTTTGACTGTCCATGACTTCGTGGGATTCAGAATTCCTTTGAACAACATCTTTAGATGCAATAGTTTATCAACTTTAGAAAAGAATGGTGTTGTCCAGTACTATTGGGACGTTCACGTACAAGCTTTTGTCCAGAATGGTACAGTGAGCACTAAAGGTGAGTACTTAAAGTATATATATTTGGACCTGAATTTAAGATTAGAGTATACTTAGCCGGCTTTGATGAAATTGTTATCCGAAAGCATTTCTATACTAAGACTTGTTTGTAGCTTACACTGGACTATAACATTTTTGTAAATAACAACAGTTCTTGTTCTTGCAGAACTTGCAATTATAAGTTGATGATGTGCATGTTGTGCGATGGGTGGTTTTGGTTTTTTTTTGTTTGTTTTGTGGTTGTTTTTTTTTTTAACAAATGCTGGACCTGTAGTGTTTTCAGCTGATTAAACCTAATCTTTGAACAAATCCTCAAATAGCTTGATCATCAGCACTTTAGATTTTGACGATCCAAGACCTTGGCTCAGGAATGAGGTTTTTGTGTTCAAATCTTGAATTGTATAAACTGTTTTTATCACTTCTATGTGACTTTATTGAAGTATCATAATTCTCATTTACCAGCTCTGAAAAACGACCAACACTTCCTAAGAAGAGGTTGAAATGCCTCTGATTTGTTGTAGGGGTGATACAAATAAAAGGTTCATTTGTATTCACACCCTTTAGTGATTTTTTTAAAGGATTTTTATTTATTCATGAGAGACACAGAGAGAGGCACAGACACAGGCAGAGGGAGAAGCAGGCTCCATGCAGGGAGCCCGACGTGGGACTTGATCCCAGGACTCCAGTCACGCCCTGGGCTGAAGGCGGCGCTAAACTGCTGAGCCACCCAGGCTGCCCCCTTTAATGATTTTTTTTAAGATTTTATTTATTCATAGAGACACACACAGAGAGAGATGCAGAGACACAGACAGAGGGAGAAGCAGGCTTCATGCAGGGAGCCTGACGTGGGACCGGATCCTGAGCCTCCAGGATCACACCCCAGGCTGCAGGTGGTGCTAAACCACTGCGCCACCAGGGCTGCCCCCCTTTAATGATTTTTAAACTTTTTTCTGGTAAATCCTCTCCATCCTTATAGTGGTTGTGTGTGTGAAAGAAGAGGGCAGGCCTAGGTAGGGGTGAAATGTTTTCATACTTAAATTTCTTATTTTCACATCAGAGGCAGGTGACATTCTTTATTCTTTGGGCATAAAGGGACCTCGGGGTCTGAAGAAACGAGTGTGTGGTAAATAAAGTATAAAGTAGATAAAGCGTTTGTATGCAATGTCTGGTGTGTCATAACTCTTACAGATTGTTGGCATCTGAAGCTGCAGTTTGGGAATGAACTTCTGCCTCATTCCCCTAATAAAACCTTTTGGACTTCTATTGTAAGAAATAGTTTGCTATTGTAAGAAATAGTTTGCTCTTTCCTGGCCTTATGGATTAAGAAAAAGGCCAGTTAGTTTATTTTGTCTTTCATTTGTTTCTTTAGAGTTTCTGTGTGAAAAAGATAAAACTTCAACCACTGTGGTGCCCACCATCTCCACCACCACACCATCCCCTACTACAACACCCACTCCAAAGGAAAAACCAGAGGTGGGATCCTACTCGGTTAATAATAGCAATGGTACTTGTCTTCTGGCTACCATGGGGCTGCAGCTGAACATCACTCACGATAAGGTATAGTTGTCTGTTTTTATTGATAGGTTCTTCTCATATCTCCTTTCAAATATGGTATATCCTACCTCTGGCCCAAGAGTAGTGTTTTTAGACTGATTCCGCCTTAAAGATTTTTTGAAATTTATTTATTAGAGAGAGGGAGAGAGGGAGCATGTGTGCATGAGCAGGGGGAAGGGCAGAGAAGCAGACTCCTTGCTGAGCCAGAGCCCAACACGGGGCCTCAATCCTAGGACCCTCATGACCTGAGCTGAAGGCAGATGCTTAACCAACTGAGCCACCTAGGCACCCCTAGACTGATTATGTATGTATTTATTATTTTAAAGATTTTATTTATTCATGAGAGAGAGAGGCAGAGACATAGGCAGAGGGAGAAGCAGGCTGCCTCTGGGGAGCCCAATGCAAGACTTGATCCCGGGATCACGACCTGAGTCCAAGGCAGACACTTATCTGCTGAGCCATCCAGGTGTCCCCTGATTCTGTTTTAAATGGAGGTTTGATGTTGACTTGTTGAGGTCTGATTAATTTGGAGTTACTGTAACCACAAAGAGTTAATGTCACTGTCAAGGTGTTGTCTTGGCCAGCAGGAAACCTAGCCCTTTCAAGGACTCCTTGGGGTTTAGATTCAATTTACCATCAATAGATCGGAGTACAGTCGATTTTTAATTCTAGTCAGTTTAAAATATAACTCCTCATTTGTATCTGAAACACAGTGTAGGTTGATGTGCTGGGAAAGCGCAGCTGTTTCTCCAGCTCCACGATGACTCAGATGGTAGAAATGCTCAAGTAGGGGAGGGCACTTCTGGTTGCAGTGTACCTCGGAGGCTATAGGGGGCGTGCTGACCAACAAATCCCATTTCCAGAGTCTTGTGACTTAAACAAGCTAGATAGATGGCTCTTGTGCTCCATAAAAATGTGTCTTTTCATTTGACTCATTATCGAGGAAGCTTCTCTCTTGTTTTTCTTTTCTTTCTTTTTTTTTAAGTTGTCGGAGTCATAGCTTGATGGCCTGGGCCAACTTCGTTTGAAAGTAAGACACCATAAAGTATTCAGACAACAGGATTTCTTTTGCTACACTGAGGTTGCTTATTAGGGTATAAAGGTTTTGCCATGGACTTGTATGGTTGAGCTGTACCTTTCTCCCTCTTCTCCGCTAAAGGTAGCTTCGGTTATTAACATCAACCCCAATACAACTGACTTCACTGGGAGCTGCCAGCCACAGACTGCCCTGCTTAGACTGAACAGCAGCAACATAAAGTACCTTGACTTTGTCTTTGCTGTGGTGAGTAACAGATTTCTTTAAGATTAGGTCCATTTTGCTTTGAAACATCTGAAAGTCTAAATGGCTCTGTGGGGGGGGGTGTGTGGGGGGTGTCTGTAGAGCATGTTTAGCCCTATTTTCCATTTCAGCACTACTTAATTATAAAGTGTAGTTCATTGATCCCACTTAATCCCTCAGAGTCACCTCAGTGGTCTGTGAGCTGGACTTTTGTATTCATGTCCATGATCATCAAAAGTCACTATTCTTCCATTATATAGACTTCAGGGTAGGAGCAAGAATTAGCCCACACCAAAAAAAAAAAAACAAAAACCCTCTCTCATGTATCCCATATAGAAATATTTAATAATAAAGTAGAAATATTTATGTATATTATAAAAGATAAAAAGTAATTTCCAGAATATTTTTCTCTGTTATTGGTTAGGAAACTTGTGTTTGTGTATTCTAATATCTGAGGTTTTTTTGGAGGCTATGCTGTTTGTCATAGCATCAGTAATAATAATAGTTAACATTTGAGTACATGCCATCTATAAGGCTCTGTATAAGTACTTAACATACATAAGTTAATTAAATCAGGATAGTTTATAATGGCAGCATTCGAGTTTTTGTTCATGCTTGTATCAAGGGCTGAACCCTAAACAGAAGGCTTAGCATACGTGCTCTACTTCTTGCTAGCATAAATTCATCCCTGAGGACTTTTATTTCTACCTTTTCAGAAGCAGTTAGTACCCTCACAATTTTTGAGGGGGGGGGTGTGGGAAAGAGGGCACAGGTGTGAGTGAGGGAAAATCTTAAACTGTCAGCAGTTCTCCAACTAAGACTGATTGTTTAGGTAGATTGATTAACAAATAGTTCTGCTTTTAAATCAGATGACTCTACTAGGGATGGGGAAACACTCTCAACATCTGATACATAAAAATTTAGGTATGTGGTATTTGTTTCAATTCTGAACTTGGTATCTTCAGGCTAAAGCCTTTTTTCTCTATGGAATATATGTGGTGAAATTGAGGGTTATATCGGGCAATTATATTTCAGAAAGGTTTGTAAGAGTCTTCCCTTCACCAGTGTGGAAATCATTCCTCTGTTACAGTACGTATATGACCAGAGGATGAGTATTAAAAATGTCTGCTCAGGCTCGTCCTCTTCAATGTGGTAGGAGCAGGCCTCCTCAGACATATTCTCTTTTAAAGTCATCTCATCGGGATTGTACTATAAATAAGAATGAAGAAAGGAAGATTCTAGATTCCTTCTCTTTGGAATGATTGAGTTTGATCTTTCTAGCTGTGGTCAGGTCCTAAAAGAAACATGATTTTTTTTCTGACTCTTATTGGGAAATATTTAATAATTACAATATTTAATTTCCCCAACAGACTATTTTAGAATGCAGTTCAAAACAGTGACATTTTAACTGCACTACAGGCACTTTGAAGAGTCCAGAAACCCTTGTAATACCACCAGACTTCACTGCGGCCTATCTTTAACCCTGTCCCAATAGACCCTTTTAAGGAGAATTTATTGAATTTCAGTGTGCCATGTACAGGATACCATGGTGGGATTCAAAGAAGAAGGCCTGTTTTAATAAGGAGCCCACGGTTTAGTGGTAAAGATAGAAATACACAAATAATGGCCATTTTGGGGAAGGCCTTGAATGCTATGCTAAGGCTTTTGAGCCGGATCCTGTGGGCAATTAGAGTGCTGTGGAAGTTGCATTCTAGGTTGGATGAGTGATAGACCAGAAGAAAACACAAAGTCTGTGGGAGTATAGAAGAGGAAGTGGTTAATTCTGGGTGGAGGAGAGTCAGGAAGGTTTAACGGAAGAGATGACATTTGAGCTGGACTTTCAAGGATGGGTCAGATTTGTACCCATGGAGCTAAGGGGAGTAAGCGGAAAAGGACAGGTTATTTCTGGACAAAGGAACACAGTCAAGACCAGCTAGGAGAATGAGGCATGTGGCATGTTTAGCAAAAAAGAGGTTATGGAAAAACAGTTGGGATAAATTGTGGGGAGCCTTGAATGCTGAGCCAAGACATGGCCTCAGGGAAGGAGAGATGTGATGAAGTGGTCAAGTCTTCCTTTGTGCTTCTTCCTGATAGTTCTCTCTGCATCTGTCCCCCTCTCCATTTTCTTTCCTTTTTTTTTTCAAAGGTTTTATTTGAGAGGGCGTGAGCACAAGCAGGGGCAGCAGCAGGCAGAGGGAGAGGGAGAAGAAGACTCCCCACTGAGCAGGGAGTCCAATGTGGGCTTGATCCCAGGACTCTGGGACTTAACCGATGAAGTCACCCAGGCGCCCTATCCCCTCCGTTTTCATTCCTCACTGCCTTTGCCCTGAGTCCAGCCTGCATGACCTCTTACCTGGATTGTTCAGCCTCCCACATCAGTTCTTCCTCCTCTTCTCCTCCCTCAACTCTCCCCCCTCCCCCAACAACGGTCTTCTGCATCCATTTAATCTTCCTGAAGCACGACTCCTCCTCAGAAAGTTTTAGCGGTTCTGTTTCACCAACATCTAAATTTCACGGCAGGGTGTTTTAAGTCCCCCCCCCACTGCCTCCCCCCACGCAGCGGAACTTGTGTATCTGGCGTTATGTTTACTTCTTTCTCTTTCCATGCATCCCATGCTTCCCTCACCCTGTGCCCTTTCAGTGAGGTAGGAGAGCATAGTAGCAGCCAGTGTACGGGTTCTGCAGCTAGACTTCTGGGGTTCAAATCCCACTTCCCTGACTACTAACCATATGGCCTTGGGGAAAATCACTCCATGTCACCCTACTTCAATCACCCTGTCGCAGAATGGGGTGTTACAATTATTCGATGAGGCCCCACATGTAAAGTTTTAAGAACATCGCTTAGCACTGAGTACATTTTCAAATGCTAGCATGCTTGCGATGGTGCTTCCTTTCTGGCTACCTTCACTCGTGCCCTTGCCTTCCCAGATACCCTCTTTTGCTGGTTTCCTAATTAAATTTTGCCCAGTTCAAACAGTGCATCCTGAGCAGCCCCGGTGGCTCAGCGGTTTAGCGCCACCCTCAGCTCAGGGCGTGATCCTGGAGACCCGGGATCGAGTCCCGCGTCAGGCTCCCTGTGTGTAACCTGCTTCTCCCTCTGCCTGTGTCTCTGCCTCTCTCTCTCTCTCTCTTTCATTAATAGATAAAATCTTTAGATTAAAAAAAATGGTGCATCCCTAAGCTCATATCACTTACCTTCTCCCCTACTTGTCCACCTATCTCCTTTTAATTTTTATAATCTATCACCGTCTATTTTTGCAATATGGTTATTTATTTTTTTTAAAAGATTTTATTTGTTTATTCATGAGAGACACAGAGAGAGGGAGAGAGAGAGGCAGAGACACAGGCAGAGGGAGAAGCAGGCTCCATGCCGGGGGTCTGATGCGGGACTTGATCAAGCCCCTAGCCAATGGCAGGCGCCAAACCGCTGAGCCCCCCAGGGATCCCCGCAATATGGTTATTTCTTTGTGTAGTTATCTTATCTTCTGTGGCAGATTGCAAACATGGTGGGGGCAGGATCCACATCTGGTTCACTCGGCTAGCTCCCCGGAGCACGCGGATATGTTGCCTTGTCCATGCTAAGCACTAACGTGATTAGAATGATTGGCTGACCAGATGCCTGCTTCACAGAGAGCATAGTGGCAAAGGGAAGCTCCCAGCTGGAAAGGCTGAAAGGCAGGGACGGAGTCCAGTTAGGACACTGGTCATGATCCAGGCGGGAGGAGGCGGGGGCTCAGCAAGTGGCAGGAGACCTAAAACGAGGGGATGGATGAGGGGATGGATCGTTGAGTGTCGAAGAACCCGTGACTACCCCCGGGTCCAAAAATTGGAAACAAAACGCAAAGGGAAAAGGATTCTGTTACATTTTACCTAGCTGGTCTGGGTCTCATCCGTGGTTTTATCTTCTGAGTAATAGTATTAGATTGCCTTTCATCTGTAGATATTAACTAGACCTGTAGACAGTTGTGATGTGTTGATTAACTGGAAGCTCTTTTTCTAACAGAAAAATGAAAATCGATTCTATCTGAAGGAAGTGAATGTCAGCATGTACTTGGTTAATGGCTCTGGTAAGCAAAGCATCGGCCTCGGGGAAAAGAGTGGGTTACACTGAAGGAATAGAAACCATAGTTGTTTTGTTACCAAATAGTGCCTTATTTAATGGAACAGAGGAGTCTGTGTGAAAATTGTGCTTTGACCACAATTGAAAATCAATAACTGAGAACTATAGTGTTTTATCTTTTTAGTCTCCCTCGTTTTCAAATAGGGTGGATAATAGTTAAGGATGTGACTGATTTTTAGACTACAGAAACATCTATAGAAAGATAGGAAACCTAGTGATCGTAAGAATTGCTTTTTTTGGTAGACTCTGTACCCCAAGCTCCCATACTTCACTGAAAAATTCTGAGCACTGTCCCATTTCTTATGTTCATAGAATAAAGTTGCTAACAGGCACCTGACTGGTTCAAGTGGTAGAGCATGGAACCCTTGGTCTCTGGGTCAAGGGCTTGAGCCCCACCTTGCATGTAGGGCCTACTTAAAAAAAAAAAAAAGAAAGAAGTTCCTAACATCTTTGTTTTCTTTAAAGTTTTCAGCATTGCAAACAACAATCTGAGCTACTGGGATGCCCCCCTGGGAAGTTCTTATATGTGCAAAAAAGAGCAGACTGTTTCAGTGTCTGGAGCATTTCAGATAAATACCTTTGATCTAAGGGTTCAGCCTTTCAATGTGATGGAAGGAAAATATTCTACAGGTAAGAACTGAGCAAGTTTTATTAATAATTTATGTTCTTATGTTGACTAATAGGTGGCTTTTCCTTTGACTCATGGAAATTTAAGCAGTGAAATAGAGAAATATGAATTCACCTCTTGTGACTGTTGGAGAGTTTGCATGGCTTTGAGCAAGTTCTGTAAACTCCGTATTTGGCTCATCATTTTGCTCAAAGTAGATATTTTTGTGTGTGGACCTGAAACCCATTTGCAGCCAAGTTCTTAACTAAAAATTGATGGAAGCTGTCAGCGAGCCTTACTTAAGGCAGAGACACTCTCTGCCAGTTTTTAGTTTGTGGGAAGGGTCTTTGAGCAGCTAGGATCTATTTTCTTTTTTTTAAATTTTTATTTATTTATTTATTTATTTATGAGAGAGAGAGAGAGAGAGAGAGAGAGAGAGAGAGAGAGAGAGAGGCAGAGACACAGGCAGAGGGAGAAGCAGGCTCCATGCCCCGGGAGCCGGACGTGGGATTCGATCCTAGGTCTCCAGGATCACGCCCTGGGCCAAAGGCAGGCGCTAAACCGCTGCGCCACCCAGGGATCCCTAGGATCTATTTTCTTGGAGCCATCTTCTTATTGGAAATATTTTCATACGCAAATGAAAGCAGTTTGGTCTTATTTTGTTAAGACAAAAGATTACGGTTAGCAAAGCCTCAAATACCATGAACAGTGTTTTGGCCAGCCAAAATGATTTGGAGAGTTTTAAAAGCATATGCCAAGGTGAGAGGCTTTCTGGAAGATCGACTCAGGACTAATGGCGGTATTTGTCAGATTTTTAGTGAAACCTTTTGTGGAGGGCTCATTGTTTATACAAATATGAAAGATGTATTTGGCATTATGAGATTAAAATCTGCACATAGGTAAAATACATAAAATTCCTTAATTGACTTGTCCTTTGAAACTGATGACTTAAAATTGGGGGTTTGTGGATCAAAGCTCTGCTAAGCAGAGCTATTCAAACCATCCACATCCTTTTTAACAATTACTTCTGTGGTTTGGAAGGAAATGTGGTAGCTGTGTTTAAAAGTCAGTATGCCATGAGCCACTCAACCACTTTTGCAGTGGTGCTGGATCCCCGGCCTGACTTGGTTAGGCCAAAATAAGTTGGGATCTCCAACCTACCATTCTTGTGACTAGAGAGGTTAATCACACTTAGAAATTTTTTTCAGGAATTCATTTTCCCTTTTGTTAGTTTTGCTTATGTACTACAATTATTTTGATCCTCTCATAGTTTTATTTTTGAGTCTTTATCAAGCTCCCCTACATTATTACCCTAATTTTAGGTCCAGATTTGTGTTTAGAATTGAAAATCATTTGCAGCGTGATACCAGCTCGAGTCTGTTTATCTAGTCAGCTGAAATAGAGACAAGCTGCATTCTTTCTCGAATTTGAAACTTTGCTTTTTATGTATTTTGAATTCAAAATGGTACCCAAAGGAGTATACAACATTTAATACTGGTAATGAACATGTCATCTATTTGTGGAGCTAGGTTCTTGACCGTGGGTACCTATAGATACAACATACCACTAGTATTTGACTGTACAGGGAGGAGGGAGTAGACTTGTAGTAAGGGAAAAGAGTGTTGAATGGATTTTACTGGATCAGACTACTCTCTGAAATAGAAAAGCTCGCCCTTTGTGGGCTGCCAGCCCTGACCAGGTTGATAAATGTAGTAAACACACGCAAATTAGTTAAGAGGTCCCAGTTTCTTGACTTCTGTAGCTGCTAAGATCACATACTCTAGGTCAAGGATCCGCAGAGTGTATTTGGAAGGCATGGACAGTAAGTGTTTTAGGTTTGGAGACCACATGGGCTCTGACACCACTATTCAGCCTCCTGTTGTAGCATGTAAATAGCCAGAGGCAATAAGTAAATGAGTGTGGCTGGGTTCCAATAGAACTTTACTTATGGATGCTGAAATTTGAATTTCATACAATGCTCATGTGTCACAAAAATCTCTTCCTTTTTTGTGGGTTTTTTTGGCCATTTAAAAATGTGGAAAAACCACTTTTAGCTCTTGGGCCAGATTTGGCCTCCAAGCTATAGTTTGTTTTCTGCTCTAAAAGATTCCAGAGCCAGCATGGTTCTAATCCCATGATTAAACCTTTCTCATCTGTTCTCAGTTTCCCAAAAGACATTCACTCTAGAACTAAGAGGCTAACCTGGCTATGTAGAAATGGATTAGAATTAGCTCTCTTCATTTCTTTCTTTTTTTTTAAGATTTATTTATTTGAGAGCATGCACACGTGACCTGGGGGAGGGGTGGAGAGGGAGGGAGAGAGAGAATTTCAAGCACACTCTGCCCCGAGCGTGAAGCCTAATGCAGGTCTTAATCTCAGGACCCTGAGATCATGACCTGAGCCAAAACCAAGAGTTGGGTGCTTAACCGACTAAGCCCCTCTTCACTCCTCTATTTTGGAAAGGACTTGGACTATGAAACACATACACATGTGTATGTGTTTACTCATAGATATAAAAGATATAATGTTCTTTTATTCATACATATGAATTATCTATACATATATAACACAGAAGAAAAGACAAGTAAATTTTAATTCTAGAACAATCCATAATTTTCTATAGCTTTATCATTAAAATATACCTGTCTTAATTAAAGTTGACTTTGTAAGAGCATTTCTGACTTTTGAATCAACATCTTTTACTTTTGGACATTCATTTTTTATTATACTCATTATTTGTTACACACTTTTTCTCACCTACAGCCCAGGAGTGTTCGCTGGATGATGACACCATTCTAATACCAATTATAGTTGGTGCTGGTCTTTCAGGCTTGATTATCGTTATAGTGATTGCTTACCTAATTGGCAGAAGAAAAAGCTATGCTGGATATCAGACTCTGTAATACTAATCTATCTGTAATCTCTGTTACAAAATAATAAAGCAAGTACAAGTTCCAATATGCAGTACTGTTCAATTTGAGGTATATCTAGTTGCAGTTCTGATCTTAGAATGGGTGGTGTGGGGGATTTCAAACTCAAATAAATAAAAACACCCTAAAAACTATAAACTACAAATTAGCCACATGATTTTGGTTTCCCCAGCCAAGGAATTTAAAACTGTTATTTCTACAGCAAAAAGCATGTGCAAAATAACCTGGATGATTGGTTCTGTTCTATTGTCTTGAGTTAGTAATGTCCATGTTTTCACTTTATGTATTCTGACCAGAAATACACAGTATAGGAAACTCAATTTGCAAAAAGATTTTTTTCCTGCATATAGTTAAAACTGGGACCGCACATTCTACAGTGAATTTGTACTTGCTCCTTTTGTATTTTGTGTGTGTGTGTGTGTGTGTGTGTGTGTGTGATTTTGTTTGCAGGTTAACTTAGCTACTTTGGCATTGCTGCATATTTGACCTATGAGAGATATGCCAGTAGATTTGAACAGTCTAGTATTATGTTCTTAGCAATGAATGCTTTGCTAATGCCTTTTGAATATACTTGTATTTAATGTGGCTGTAATGATAAGAGGTACAAAAGCTGTATACATTTTGGAATAGGTGTTAATCTTCTTGTTTAATCCCTTTTTGAAAAAAACCTGGATTTTTCAGTCTTTTAAATGGCAAGACACAAGACTATTCCAACTGGGCATTTCAATCCATTTTCTAGGTGCTTTAGAGATAATTGCTAGGCTGTGCCAATTTGGGGTGTTAGTCCTTTGTACCTGTAAATTGGCCTCTACATGCACTGCTAAAAATGAATGTAGTTTCTCTTTAGCTTTGCAGTATCCTTGTTGGTGGTAGTATGTTGTATTCTTTTCTTTTCTTCTTTTTCTTTCATTTCCTTTCTCTTCCTTCCCTCTCCTTTCCCTTTCTTTCTTAAAGAAGAAATGCCAGGATGTCCTAGAACCCAGATAAAGAAGTGCACTTACACTTAGCCATTAATTTGCACCTAACCCAAAAGTCTTGGTCTTCTCTTAGTCCATTAAAAAGTCATCCTTTGTTTCCAGCTTGCATTGATTACGTCAACATTTACTAATTTGGCTTTCACATTTCAATGGTTCTATGCTAATCAAAACTTAACGTTATTATTGTTCATTATGGTAGAATCATTATTAATTCATGTATTTTGTGCTCTGGGGAGATACACCAATGGACACATTTACCATGCACCACCTAATGTTTATATGATAAAGCAACACATTTCAGCTTGATAGTTAACACATCAAGTATTTCTCACTGCTTCCAGGAGGTGTTTTTGTTGTTGTTGTTATTTTGTTTTTTGGGTTTTTTTTTGTATTGGAACGGCTGAGTAAATATTAAAAAGTTGTTAATATGCAGCCATATATAGGAAGTTCTTAGGTTTTGGGAGTGGGAGATTATATGCCCCCATATACACTAGAAAATGGGATATCTGTGTCCCAAACAATTATTGATGTTGAATTAATTTAGTAGTCTAGCTCTATGCAGCACACACACAGAGGCAATTGCATGTTAGCATGTGTATGTCTGTACAAGTATCTTTCAAGTTATATTAGAGTGGTAAATATTTTCTCCCACTTAAATTTGCTCTCTGCTTAGAGTAGCCTGAAACCCTTACTGGCTCAGAATCAGATTCTTGACCAGTCCCTCCCTTACAGCTACACTGAGCTGCATTGCCAGCTTAAGGCACTTTTTAAGGACTAAATATAAATCTGATTTTTAAAACGTATTTTTACTTAAATAACGTTCTAGTGTAGAATTGTTAACCTTATATGAATGGATAATGCTTATGAGAAAATGGGCATCAGATACTTATGAATCAAAACAAAGCAACCTTTTTTTTAAACCTAAATTGGAAGCACAGTGGCACTAGCTTAATGCTGTTAATGTTTCTAAAAGTTTTTATATTTAGGTTATATGCCTAATTCATATTAAAATACCTCTAATTAGCACTGTTTTATAGAAAATATGACTTCATTGAATATTTTTGTATTTTACATGGGCCAGTTCATATACTCTCTTATTTACACTATTATTTCCTATAGCCACATGTTCTTTGTACCTTTTGTAGTTTTGTTTGTTTTACTGGGGTTTATACCTGATGGTTTGACATGCTATTTGGTTCTGGGTGTTTTTCATGTTCTAGCATTTGTATAAAGAAACTGGTCCATGTAAATGCTTTTCCTGTTTTTTTTTTTCTCAAATGTTTAAACCACTAGTTGATGTATGGTGTTTCTCTTTAGATATTTGCCTGTCCATTTGCTCAACATATTGCTTCTAAAACAAACAATAAAGATTCTTTTATTTCTTAAGGAAATTTGCTCACATTTTTTCCCGTTGGTCAAAGTAAAAATTTTGTATAGCTACATGATGACAATTTCTTCCAAAAGGGAAAATGTCAGAAAAGCTTAGAAGTGGAACTAAATTATTTCCAAAATACTCTGTGTATTACCATCTGGAAGAGTGGTCCCATACATAGATAGGTCTGTACTGATCCTGGGCTGGTGACAGAATAAGATGACCTAGGAAGCTTGACAGAAAAATTTACATGCCAGGCTCCATTCCTAGAGGATTTCACTTAGCAGGTCTGGGCATGTGTGTGCGTGCACGTGTGTGGTGGGGGGTGGGGTGTGGGTGTGTGGGTGGGTGTGTCAGCTCCCTAGTGGGATCCAGTGGGTAGCCAATCAGGGAACCAGTGATCTAGAAATATTTATGTGATAGGAAATGCTTTAGAGTTTCTCTTCACTTTTCTCAACCACTAAGTTGAGGCTGATATTTAATGTGTATACACAGCAGCTGTACATTACAGCCATACAAACCCAGCTATTGGTCTGAACCGAAATAGGATTGTGTGTAGTCACTCTCTCAGATCACCCTAAAATACTTGAACCTTCCAGTTTTCACATAGCTTCCCACCCACAAAAACTTGGCAACCTGGCTAGTAACTTTCCTCTGGATTACCCACTTAAGCTATGTGACTGCCAGTTAATCATCACAACTCCCAACTCTGCTGCTAGCTGCTATGTGATTTTGGCCAAGCTGCATAACTTCTGGGGTCCCAGTTTCTTCACCTGGGAGCTGAGGGCTTTAAAATCCTATTCCTCGTAATTTCTGTAAGTGATAGTTTCCAAATGTTTCAATGAAAATTGAGTATTTTTAGAAGGAATCTGATAAGTTACTAGTTATAATCAAGGACATACTTTATATACAGCGTAAAATGTGCCATTTGAAGTTTCTTGCACTTTTCACAAGGAATTCTTTTAAGACTCAGATATTTTTAAGATAATAGCATTTCATCTTTGTTTCTTTAAGTAGATAAGGTTACATTGTCTTGGGCTCCTTCTCTCCCCACCCATCTCTTTTACTCTGGGTCACTAACTTTCGGCATCAATAATTACCACATCTTGTTTTTGAAACTAGTATAGACATGTTTGGGTAATAGTGAATAGCTTCAGGTATCTTCAGATTCATGTGATAGACTTCAAACAGTTTTTAGATCTAAAAGGTATATAATAAGATGTCACATAAGAATATGACTCTTAATACTGATTGTTCCAAAGAGAAATTTTGACACAATTGGTTTTTAGGATGAGTTCGTTTTATATTTCATTACAAATGTATATCTCAGCTTTCCAATTCACACTGAAAATTGTATTTGAAAAGTTTGAGCTAACAGATAATTGAGGATTAATAGTATTTTTAATCTACGTGAAACTTTTCATTGAAATTTCAGTGGCCACAAAACTTTATCTTTAAAAATCTTCACTGCTTCTGTAATTAACTAGTAAGCTCTTCCACAAATACACTGTTCCTTTCCCCAGAAATATTTTCAGTATGGTCTCAAGTGTATATTATGCAAATAAATCAGGTTGAAATGACTTCTATAGAATGAGATTTTTCTTTTCTTCAGGATGTGTTCCTATTAAAATCACTGTTTTCCGAAATTTCTTTCCATTATCTAAATAATTTTTAAAGGTTGAATTCATAAAATCAATAGTTATTATAAATTAATACTTCACATACTAATTGAGAGCATTTTAAGTAAGTGACAGCATCTAGAAAGATCTTTGTATTAGTGGAATTGCCTTTTTGATCTACTCTGGGAATATTTGTCTTACATGAAAGCCTTATTGGCAGTATTTATGAAAGTCGTTTCAGTACTAGGTCAAATACTCAATTTAGGGAAGAGAGGAGTATGAATCCGTTGCCAGAATAAGAAATTAATCTACTAATGAATTTTTTAAAAACCAAGTTATATTAAATCCAAGGCATAATACTTTATGGTTCGTGTCACCTAATAGTTTATATGCCAGGTGGTAATTGGGAAATTGAAGGGGAGGAGTCGCTAACTGGGTGCTCTTCACACCGTGTATTCCCAAGTCATATCTGGCAATCTCAGCTATCTGGATTTCTAACAGAACCAAGAAGCAAGTAAAAAAGATCATTGAGCTGGCAGCCAAAGCCGGTATCATAAAGTCCATAAACTTCAGGATTACATCTTCTTCCCAGTTATTGCCCCAGAGGGTAGCTAAAGCCTGGCACATTTCTTAAATGTGGGCACAATCAAAATTGCCTAGCAGCCTATTCATTCTTTATTTTGACACAATTCTAATAACCGCAATTATCTGATTTATCAATCCCCGGTAGACTGCAAGCTAGGAGGAGAACTAGTGCAACAAGAGGTAAGGAAATGGGAAACAAGTGGTGGTTCGACATCCCGGCTTGCCTTCCCTCTGCAGATATACCTCGTTTGCACGCACCACCCCTTCCTCCTCTCCACTCTCAGTGAGGTGGCTTTTCCCATTTCACCAGCCTCCTGGGACACCTTGTACGTTGTCTACAATGTGTAGACACGTTGTACGTTGTCTACAGTCGTTGTTTGAGGCTCTTGCCTTCATTCAACCAATGCATTCAAGTCTCTTCCACTCCAAAGATACCATTTCTTGACCATGTTGTTCGCCTTCTAACTCCCTCCCTCGTGTCTTCTCTTCTCCTAAACTTCTCGGAATCACTACTGAATGTTGCCTATCTCACGTTCTTGATCTCTTAACCGATCACTTTCCATTGTTCCTAAACCGGCAGCAATTTGACTCACAGCCGTACCCTCTAGTTGCTAGATCGATAGGCTTCTGTAATATTTACTGTTCTCTGTGCTGATCGAAACTGTTTCCTTCCTTGGCTTCTGTGGCACCGTTGTCTACCTGCCTTTCCTTTTTCTTTTTCTTACTCCTTTATTCCTCAAATCTGAGTGTTCCTGAGGGTTTTGGCTCTGATCCTTTTTAAATTGTTTGCCCTTGCTGAGAATAAACGTGTCCCTGGTTTTCACTACCACTTAGGTTCCTCAACCACTTGGTTGGGACACAGGCATCTGAAGCCCAGAAGGCCCAAAACTGCATGTCTCCTCCCACATATCCCTCCCCACCCTTCCCCCGCCCCAACACGCGAAAATAACTACAAACCAAAACTGAATGCAGGTGTCTTCTCCCATCTTCCCCGTCATGATGGGAATGGCACCTGTGTCACCTGATCCAAGTGGGGAATTGGAAGCCTTTTTATTACTTCCTGCCACACCCCCATACCCATTCGGTCAGTCCTGCCTTCTCATTGGCTCTCCAGTCTGTCCCTTTCTGCATCCGCACCTTGTTCACCCAGTTCGGGACCCTGCTTGTTGGTCTTTTGGCCTCTAGCAATAGAGACGCCTCCTCACTTCCAGTCTTCCATTTGCCATAACTTCTAAAACAGATACCTGCCAAAAGTCTCACCGTCCTCATGTTTCCTTCCATCAGGATAAGGCGCAACTACCTAGAGCAGACAGTGCCTCTGTGAGGGGCCCTAGTACCCTTTCTCCCCCTCTTTTCCAGCCAGGAGTGCCTGTCCAGCCGCCCTAGCTCTGCCAGCCTGCCCGGATTTCCCCTGGGGTGCTGCCTTGTCCCGTTGGCCCCTGTACAACTGTCCCCGCTGTTTCCTAGACCCTCAATGCCCTTCCCCCATTACCTGCGTGGTTAATTCCTACTCGGCCTTCACAGCTCAGCTCCAGTGTCACCACTTTCAACGTGTGTCTTGCGCAACAAGGCTGAGTTGGGTGTGCCCCTGGAATACTGCTGTGATGCTCGGTGTGTCGCCTGCACCCCGTTACGGCACATTTCGAAATTCTGACCCCTGCTTTTCTCGTCTGACTCACTGGATGCAAACAGTTATGCCGTCAAGGGCCCGCCTCTCTCTTCTTTCCACTACCGGACCCGGCTTGCCGCGCCTGGAGTTTGCCTGTCTGCTTTGTATCGTTGTTCACGTGCTTCATTTCAATAGTGCCTCACAATGCGCAGGCTTCCAGGCGTGGTGCTGCTGCCACTTGATAGCAGTTTGCCCCTAGAAGCTCACAGCCTGAGCATCGTGGAAAGATTAATGATATTTATCCTTCTGTTTAGGAAATCTGGGAAGTAGGAGATCAGTTTATATGTCTCTCATCCAAAATGCCTATATTTGGGGGGGCGGGGGGAGGGAAGTCCCTGAAAGCAAGCATATGACTTGGTTATTTGGAGGATGACTTTGGTGGAACCTCTCATTTGCTGATAAGGAATGCCAGTGATGCGTTCCCTTGGTGTAAAAGACAAACACGTGTTAGGGAGTGGTGCCATTTTAACTTAACATTTGCGGCTTTGACATTTTGTCATTGTTTTCTGTTCTCAATTGTCCTTTCTCCACGTCTAGCTCAAGACTGCAGTGCCGATGACGACAACTTCCTCGTGCCCATAGCGGTGGGAGCGGCCTTGGCAGGAGTACTTATTCTAGTGTTGCTGGCTTACTTTATCGGTCTCAAGCGCCATCACGCTGGATATGAGCAATTTTAGGACCTGCAGTCCAATCAATTATAAAGAAATACATGCACATAAGATTTTTCTTGCCTCTCAATTTTGAAACATGTTGCTCTTTAAGATTGATATGTTGAAACTTTAATTCGTAAATCAGTCCCAGCATTTTGAGATTCTCTATTAATAAAAACCGTTCTCTTTTATCAGCTTAAAATTAAATACTGTATTCACTGGTCCTGAAGACAGATTGGTTAAAATCATCGGTGTGTGGTGTGTTAAGGTCTAGCCTAAGAAGCCTCAGCCAAATTTTGATCCTAACCTGAGATGCCTTAAGCTTGTAAATGTGGCCATTATAAGAAAAAAATATGTAGTTGCCTCTTAATGGAATTAATAAATTTTGTTTCACTACCAGTGTTCTGTTTTAATGTATAAGAACTATCTTGATTTCAACTCATCACAGTACTTTCACATATAGTTCATTAAATAAATATCGATGTGACATAAATGC